TGATACCACATAAATCTGTGTCTTTTAAAAATTAAATTACACAAGAGTGTAAAATTTTCACATGTTTTAGGGCAATAGAGTATGTTTGGTTGAGCTATGTAGACACATTCTGATACATTGACACACAAATTAAATTATTTAAAAAATTCTTTATAAAATTAGCCAACATTCATTTGACTGAATTAATTTGAACTGATTCAGATAATATGATAACACTTCAGTTAACAAAACATTTCAGTTGCTTAGTTCTTCTTCATTGAAGTGTGGTGAAATAATTTTGAGAGGAAACGATTCCTATATTTAGTATTGTGACTAATGTGAAGACTTCTTAGCTGTGTTTATTCTTTTGAATATGACTAATCACAGTCAGCTTGAGAATAAATTTGTTGCGTACAGAATCAAAATGTCCTAAAATAATGTGTACACACACGCAAAGGTATTGTTTCAGGGAAAAATACTTAAATACATGACTAGATAATGGAATTTTGTGATTACAATACAAGACCAAAGTGATAACAAGCTTGAAGCCCGTGCATTAAGACCTTTATTGTAAAGATTAAGGGAATCTGTAAACAGACATGGTGCAGTACAGGACGATGTGGGTGCGTGTGTCTATAGGTCGAGTATGGCCACCTGTTTCAGGTCACGCTCAGGCATGAAGAGACGCCAGTCTAACCTGGGGTCCATGTGACCAAATATAACAACTCGTTCCTCAAACGTGACAGAGAACTTTCAACACAGCTCTAGTAGTGCATATATTTATACACTGTACGTGTAATCAAAAAAGATCAACCCACAAAATGAATACAGGATTTTTTAGGAACTGAGAATTTTTCAGAGCTGATAAAAAAACTTACTAAGAAAGTTTCAGGACTTAAAATCATGTTCTAAAAAAACGGCAATGAAGTGACCCGAGTAACAGATACGAGCGACATGGGAACATTAGACCTCCCCCAGTAGACATACTATACACAGAGCTCCACCTTAACTCTTGCTAACGATTATCAATCAAAGCACGAGATACAGCAACCAAATATGAGGATTACAAGATGATGTTCTGTTTCATGTCATGCAGCTACAAAACAGTTGTTCTACATACAATCAGAGCCTAATACGGAACAATGAGCAAGCCAGTGTTTGGAAGAAGACATTTGTGTTTCAAGTTCATTTTACACTTTTGCTCAAAACTAGAAAGTAAGCTCTACCCACAGGAATAAACCTAGAGTTATTAATCAATACTGGGCAATTATACATTATTCAATAATGTTTGAAGTCTGTTTTTGTTATCAGAGTATGTTACTTAATGGTCACAATTTCAGACACACAACAGTGTTTCTCACACCCTCTTTCTCTCTTCCTCAAACACACTCACAAAACTGAACATTGGTCTCTATTATAAAGCAAGCACCTACTAAGCATCGGATTAATCCATGTTCTGGTGAGGCCGTCAAATATGGAATGTAGAGAAACTGCTCTATAATTCCAAAACTAACAAAGATCCACCAAAAATGGTAACCATTTAGATTTTACCTACAAAATTTTCAATACCCACTTATTTTTCTTTTTAATAACTCAAACACAATGTGTTTAAGTAAAAAATGGCTATATAATTGAACATCCATGAACAGCACAAGGTAAAAATCTAGTACAAGCCAAATTTAACTGAATAAAAGTCTGAAATTCATTTAAAATATGTTTTCATAGACTTTCAAGTTAAAAAAGAAAACATGTAGAATGAAAAAGTAAGATGGAAAGTTGAGCACAGCCATTCAAAAAATATGTTACTTCCTTAATCTCTACCTTACAAATGTTTCTTGTACACGTATATAATAGCATAGCAGTGGCTTTGGCACGATGTACACTTGTGGTCCTCTTCTGATCATAAAGGAAAAGTAAAAATGTCTTCCAATCCTTTAATATGCTCTACATCTGAGAATTTATTAAAGCTGAGTTTTTTGACAGCTGTGTTATTATTGTTATAATAATACATTTGGGCCCCTTCAGAGCACGCAAGTTCACTGTGAACCAAAGCACTGCACTTTAGTACTCAGATAAAGAATAATAAAAAATAGGATTATAAGTGACCTTACAATGTGTCTCTTTACTCAATCAGCCTCAGAGTGAGAAGGCCTGTCTGAAGAGAAATGTTTAGAGGTCTTGAAACTGGTTAGAGGAAATCATTTCAGAGCACAACTTAAGGCTCTTCCACTGATTGGTATTTTTTGGGGGGGAGATTGGGAGGGAGAAGCTACACAGTGGAGAATGACAGACCAAATCCTATGATTACATAGGAACCAGGTGAATAGGAGCTTTGTAAATTAAAAGCATTATTAAAAACATAGCTGCTGTTCGGAGTTCCAAAGGGCAGGGTGGTGCGTCCCGTTCCACAAGTGACCCTTGCAGCAGCATTTCGTTCTAAATGCCATTCATGAATAGTTTTTGTTCAGTAGCCCACAAAGTTAAACAGTTAAGCAACTTAGGATCAATGTAATGTGAGCTTAACATTTAAAACAAAGTTGTCACTAGTCAACTCAAACCAAAAAAGTCCAGTTTGTAGTATTACGGTGACCTCTGAGCTGATAGAAGCGTGCTGAAAGTGAAATCCAGCAATTTATCCAACTAAATGAACAATTACAGGATGGTCGGTGCTTTCATTTTTTTCATAGTGATGATTACAATACAAATAAGGATCTGAATCTTGAAGTTGTGAAGGTATTATTGATGGTGAGAAAATACTAAAGGACAATACCTTCAAATTACTAGTGTATGCTTGCGTACAATAGCAATTACTTGTGAGCTAGGCAAAATTATACTCTTAATCCCTTACAAAATCTTAAGATATATATATAATTGAACCATACTCATTCAATAAAAAACTAACATAATGCATTCACAATTAATGTGCAAATATAAAACCACTGAAAAATTTGGTGACCTTGGTTGGTTTCACTTCATCAAACAAAAAAATCCTTCTTTTTGATGAAAATCTTCACTAAATTGCCTGCATTGATCCTAAAGAAAGACAAATACTAAAAAAATTATATCTATATATGGGATGTTCAGTGTAAAGGATGCAGGATGTTACAAATGTAACAGACAGCACCAATAGTTTTATTTTAATAATAAAAAGAATAACTCTGTAATTAGTTCTAGGAACTGGTGAAAAACATTACTGGTAATAATAACAGACTGAATTTTTTTCAAGATACTTTACAATTTTCAGCGCATTATCCATTCACTCCACATTCACAAACTGGTGGTGATAAGCTTCCTCTGTAATCCTCAGCTGCCCTGGGGCAGTCTGACAGAACGAGGCGGCCATTTCGCCCCTACAGCCTTCTGCCCACCACCAAACACCCCACAAGTCACTCATATCTACACAGGGCAATGCGGGCAGGCCACAACATGCTTCCCCTTTGAGAATAAAGCTACCTATATTCTTTTTTTCTCTCCAAAAATCAGTATCTGAAATGAACTTCTAATGCATGACTGATCTGCATAGTTTTGCAGGTTCTATAGCACCTCTCACATTGCAGTTATCTACAGCAGCAGCAATTGGTTCAAAACTGTAAGTTACTGCTTATAATCTGGAACCCGAAGCACTATTGATGCACACAATATGTTCTTTTTATTTCTCCAGTTGAGTCTGCAGCAGTAATGGGAGACTGGAGTTCTCTTGGGAAGCTTTTAGAGAGTGCCCAGGAACACTCCACGGTAGTGGGCAAAGTCTGGCTCACTGTTCTCTTCATCTTCCGCATACTGGTTCTCGGTGCTGCCGCGGAGAAGGTTTGGGGCGATGAGCAGTCTGGCTTCACCTGTGACACCAAGCAACCTGGTTGTCAGAATGTGTGTTATGATGTCACCTTCCCTATCTCTCACATCCGATTCTGGGTGCTCCAGATCATCTTCGTTTCCACGCCAACGCTGATCTACCTAGGCCACATCTTGCACTTGGTACGTATGGAGAAGAAGCACAAATGCCCTGAACCCAGTGGCCCAGAAAAACAGGCACTGTTGGGCACCAAATCAAAAGGTCCCATACGTGATGAACAAGGAAAGATTTGTCTGAAGGGAGTTTTGCTACGCACGTATGTCTTCAACATTATCTTCAAGACACTCTTTGAGGTAGGCTTCATTGTGGCACAGTACTTCCTGTACGGATTCGAGCTCAAACCACTGTATACCTGCAGCAGATGGCCATGCCCGAACACCGTCAACTGCTACATCTCACGGCCAACAGAAAAAACCATATTCATTATATTCATGCTTGCCGTGGCTTGTGTCTCTCTGCTGCTTAACTTGGTAGAGATGTATCACTTAGGGTTCACCAAGTGCAGGCAAGGCCTACGTTACCGACGCTCTCATTCCGTCTGTGAAACAGATTCTAAAGTGCCCAGTGAGGACGTAGTGGTTCCATTTGTGCCAAACTATCCTTATTTTCCAGCTCACGCTGCTCCCCCTACTCCCTTTGCCCCAGAGCCACACTTCAACCTCACAGAACCCGATGGGACTTACCCACAGCATGGTAGCCGCTCAGTTTACAAGCAGAACCGCGAGAACATGGCGGTAGAGCGCAGTGGCAAACCAGACTCTGAGGATGCTAAGGTCAGCAAAACAAATTCAGTCCCTGGATCTCCATCGAGTCAACAGCGCAGACCGAGCCATTCAAGCCGATACAGCAGCAGCAACAAGACCAGGATGGATGACCTCAAGATCTGAGCCGAACGAAATGAGAGCTCAATCACCGATTCCTTAAACTCCCGTTCTGGGAACAAATGGAAGTTTCTTGCTTCACTCACAGGCAACGAGCAGATGAGCAGTTGATTTAGAGGAGTGCCATCGGAAGTGACCTCAGATTCAAGGAGGGTAGATGTACGCATACTTTACTTGAAATCGTTGTGTGGGAACACTACGTCAAGGGAATATTTACCGTTATACATTTGGCAGACGCTTTTATCCAAAGCGACTTACTTTTCAAGGATTGAACACGTCAAGTCTGCTTTTCCATGGAGTTCGAACGCATGATCGTTACTTTGCTAGCGCAATGCTCTACTGACTGAGCCACAGGAAAGCATGTTGAAAGCAATAGATTGATGATTAAATCAGAGACAGAAATTCACTTTTAAGATGCATAGTGACAATCATGAAATATTTACCAAACTGATTTTATTACAAACTTCTGAATCCAGAGTCTTGTTTGATATGTTTTAGTGGGTAATGTCATCTAGCCTCTAGTGGCAACCGATACATTTTGTAAACTCAGCTCACGAAAGATGTCTTTTGTTGTCAAGATTCCCCTGTCTGCAGATTGGTTAAGCCACACCAACTAAATGCACAGCGCACCAACCCAAAAAAAAAGAACGTGGATCCCTGCCTAAGTGTCATCTCATTGAATGTAGTTCCTCAACCCAACCCTAACCCTGTGTACCATGTTCAATGGGTGGGGCTTCACATTCAATGGGTGGAGCTTTTTTTTCTTTTTTACAATTGATTCTCATACTTTGTTAACTGGGTTTGGCTCAAAGCCAATATACAAATCTTTGTATCAAAACACATTTGCCATAATATGTGTTTACACCAATAGTGAGTTCTCCTGTATCGATTATGTAGCCTAGTGTGAGTAAAGTCCAAGATGTATTCATCTACTCCCACCGACTGAATGCCTGAAGTAATAAGGGTACTTTTATTTATGGGTGAATTATACCGCCAGACAGGAGATGGCGACAAGAGCACTAGCTCGGGATAATTTAAAGAGCTAGACATCAAAACGGGGCAGCTGTTTTACAATAAATATTAAAAAATGAAACCTTAATATTACATACTTTTTATTAACAAATTCTAGAAAAAAAATCATTTGTCAGCAGAATACACTTAATTTCCATAGCACGATATTAGGAATTACATTGTATGGACATTTTAAATTCAGTTTCAATTAAAAAAAATGTACACTTTAGTAAAAGTTATATAGAGATACTAGATACTAGAGATATAGAGATATGCAGGGGTTTCACAATTAAACTTAAAAATGAACTCTTTCAGAAATTAATTTTTTTTACCAGTGTCTTGAATTTATCTCTGTAATGTTTTGATATTTTGGAAAGAGAACCACCACCTGTTCAGCATGCTAACATGATATAAAGCAAAGATGCTATGTGTGAGTTCGGCTCTCAAATAAACACTTAAGACTATTTTTGGAGAACTGAGATGAGTGCCTAGAGACAGTCTGAATGTGCCAGTGTCCGGTTAGAAACCTGAGACAGGTCTGCCAGAAAGCAAAGATTGATTGGTGGAATGCTTTATGTTCCATTGATCTAACTTTACAGACTCGAGACGTTGCCAAAATCGTCTCAAAGATCCGTGCCACTATTGAGTTATTTTTATATCTGTCTTTAAAATCACACCCAGCATCTCGAATGCAGCAAAATAAAGCCATTACAGCTCCACTAAGTCTAACGTTACATCCAAGCACAGATGTTAGCATGATGCTAACAACAACTTATTGGAACACTTACCTTTGGAAAGCTGCAACATATTTAACAATTTCTTACATTTTTACGACTTTTAAATAATTAGCCATTAACTCACTTGGTTTTAAACGCCTCTCATATTTTGAAAGCAGAAAACTTGACATTGAAAAGTTCACGTTGAAATAGAAGGGGAGCCCTCATTAAACAATTAAGTGCCACTCATTGATAAAACGACTAATAAACTATTTTAATCATTTACACAAACGTTTATAGATAACGTTGGCAGTAATTTGCTTCTTTTTAAAAATTGTTATTAATAGTAGTTTTCAAATATATTTATTTATAGGTCAGATTAAGTGACCAGTGGGGTTTTCAGGGGAAAAGACTAATGCTAAAGGTGCTACGCAATTACAACTCATGTGGCAACAAGGATGTATCGTAAAATGTTAGGCTTTTACCATTACCTAGTTTTATTGGAAATGTTTCAAACAGTGTATTTCTGATAAAAAGTGAAATTTATAAAGCACATGCAAAGGCTTTTCAGAATTACCTTCATCAGCTAGTTCTTATTGTTGAGTCATTAAGTGGAAAATGATTTTCCCAAGATTGTTGGTATACAAGTTGGTCAAATTCGGAGACAGGTTGAATGTTTTGTGCACAGTCGATATAGAGTGAACCATAAAAGTGAAGAACTTTATATTTGTACCTCAGGCAGTTTTTTAATTAATGTGGTGAATAATTAATGTGTTTTTTTAATTGGAACAAAAGAACTAAATCAAATATTTTGTGTTAAGCATAAATTCTTATACAGGTACAATTGCACAAGGTCAAAGATTTTGCAGGTTATCAGGTGTATGATCAACTACCAAATTACCAAACAGGTGCTAATGAGCATCAATGTCAGACATAGAAATAAGTTGTGAAACAAAGCAGAAACAGCTTTGTATGGGCTTTAAAACTTGGTGGGGATTAACAAAACCAATCTACCACTGTGAGGTTTAAGGTTGTTTCCTGTCAGCAACAAAGTCTCACCAAGACAAAGATTTCAGGATGTGCTGTTTTATCTCTTGTGTTCAACTAAGGATTTTGAGATTGATACCATTCAATCAGCTGCTTACCATACTCTTGATTTCTTTCTGCAAATTAGAGATTGATTCTTTTATTTATAAAGTAAAAAAAATGAAGCCTCTGGACAAAACTGTGTTGTACTAACAGACTAATTGTCTTATAGAATACACAGATTAGTGGTAATAAAAACAATACACAGTCTTTTCTTTTGAGTTTATGTTCACAGAAAATAGACAATAATGCAGAAAAGATAAAAACTGGTACTGCAGATGTCTTAATCTCCCTGTTTAAAAAAAATCTTGCATGTGATGAACAGTTGCTGCAATGGTGGCAGAGGTCAAAGGGCATGATGTCATGCAGTACCAACACAGCCTTCCTGAAACATGACCTCCGTTCTCTGACCTACTGTATCAATGGCAGCTAAAGCAGGTCATAGCAGGGAGATTTCACTGATCTAGTCAGGGGACAAGCATTTTCTTCTGCAATCCATCACTCATTTGACAGCACTAGTCATTACATTTCCATATAAAGAACATTTAAGAGGCACAAACAGAATGCAACAAGGATCATTCTTTCAGACAAATAATCATCTCACCAGAACATTGCAGCATAAGCAAATAGTGACTCTGAAAAGACTAAATTCAAGAGATTTTTTCCTATTTGTTGTGCGCAAAAACATAGAAATGCACACTTTTCACTGAGGCATAAAACAGAAAACATACTTCAATAAAAACTTCGCTGGTGTGGACTTGACAGCATCAAACCGAACACAAATCACAGACATTCCTTTGTGCATCCATCAACATCAAGCATTACACAAAGCTCCATTTCAAGAACAATTCTGCATATTCAATGGTCCATTTAAAGCATCATACAAAGTCTCTTTCCTTTGATTGGTGATGGGTGAACGTTCCTTAATGAGTCCCAAGAGTTTGCATATATGTACTGAGCAACATTTCAACATAAGCATCTTTTGGTAAACAAATGACAGGAATGAAAAACCCAACCATTTTTGTAAACTGATTTCAACAATATCTGCATTTAAACTTATTTTTTCCAAGAAATAAAAAAATCAAAGGTGAATTGCATTGTTAAATGGAAGCACTTGTGATATAATACTGATATTAAGACCTGGATCATAACTAATAAGGCATTAACCATTGTGTTTGTGTAGACACAAACACATTCAGCGGATCAGAAATAAATAGCTACTGCAAAATGTGCAATTTGAATACAAACCTTCCAATGGTGGAATGTGATATATGATGCAAACTCCACCTCCTTATCAGCACAAGGCTATAATTTGGCGTTCCTAAACAAGCCTCTTCAGAAATAACATCTATCTTACATCATAAATCCCTAGATCAGTTCAACTAGTGTAAGGCGATATGTGGTATGAACCATGATACACTGGCTTTCAATAAACACGATTTTCAGCACTTTAATAGCATAGCTTCTAGATTTCCCTTAAAAATCACCTTTCATTTTAAGTGGTTCACCATGTGCTTGTCTGTGTAGACTGTAGAGGCTAAGTGGCGTCATAGTACCCGTCGCAGAGTGAGTGGCAAAAAACCCTATTCATGTGCTAACTGTGAATGTGACTTTGACCAGAGTAAACGGCAAAAATGGGGAAATGCTGTAATGCGACTGGCTGCTTGAACCAATTTTCAAGACTTCAGGAACATAGACTGCCGTAATTCAAAGAAAGAAGAAGCAAATGAATTGCTGTAATTGCCCAAAATAAAAGGGCAGGAGGAGGTGTCACATCAGACCAGGCGCAGCTGTCTTTTTGTTTGTAATCTTAGTTTCCACTAGGAGTCACGAAGCATCACTTTATGCATATTGTGCAATAAATGATTGATGGTTGAACTCAGGTCAGAGGATCATTTGCAGGTCAGTACGTGATTTGAAGCTTTTGAACTCCTGCAACGTGTATGTGTTTACAGTGAACCCTCATTTATCACGGAGGTTACGTTCCTAAAATATGTTGAGGTAGTCAGCTTAATTTGTACAATTATTTTACAACACAACACTGTAATATAGAATGAAACCAAAGCTCAAAACCTTTTTTCAGGCGCAACCATTTATTTAAGAAATAAAAATATAAATGTAAATACTATAAACTAAGAATTTAGATTAAGATACATTCTTTCCATAATGGTGCCCTGCAGCCGCATAGTTTTAACCGTCTTTCAGTGTGTCCAGACGTTAAACTTTTTCGGCGATATTAAGCATCCATCAAAGGATGTGGCTTTGTTGGTGCAAAATGTTTCACCGACATTGTGGATTTTGGCAATTTGCCAACGTAAATTTTGTTGGGGGGGGGGGGGGTTGTACAGAGACGAGGCATGGAAACTGTAGATATTAGTCTAAGTGAAAGACCAATATACATTTTTTTTTTTAAATTCTAAACCACGGTCCCTTTTACAATCTCTATTAAAAAATCCACTAAACTGCGAAAGGTGAACCACATAACAAGGAGAGATCATTGTATTCCAAACACAAGGTAATTAATAATATTAGGATATTTAAGAGGTGGTAGTGCATTTGGTATTTCACATGGGTGAATATCAACGATTTCTTTCAATTTAGCTAAATAACTCTGATTATTTATTTTTCTGCAATGCTTTGCCAATTGATAAACAACTATTACTAATAAAAAATAATAACAAAACCTAAAGTATTTAGGTTACAGTTTACAATTCTCTTGTAGAAGTCGCTCTGTTTATTTAGTAACCATAGCCACAAAATAGTCACCCTGCAAAAATGGCAGACATGGTGATGTGACTCCTCCTGCTCTATTGAAATTCAAGAGCTAACACAGATTTGTAGTCGCCATTTTGTTTTGGATAAGCTAGTTGAGTTCAATTCTTTTTAACGTATGCATGTAATCATCAGAATTACTCACAGTAGCACTTTTCAGTATTACATGTAGCCACTTTAATACTCGTTTTGCCACTCAGCCTAAGTGAAGAGGTCATGGGGCCTGGTGGGAAAGTGACACCAAAGCATATCCTCTATTAGTTATGGCTGAGAGTGAGAGATGAGGTTACCTAATGCTGTCATGTTGTCATTCAAAATCCTTGTGCCATTTGTAGAATCAGTTCTAATAATTAACCCCATTAATGGTTTATATTTCATCATAAAACCCTCATATACAATATAAGCACAATATATCACACTATATTACACAGATAACATCTAACACTAATCATTTATTTGACATAAAATTACCCAAGTCTCAATTGTACAATTGGAATTCTTGTCCTCTGATCTGATCTTCATGTGCCTCTGTAAAAATAGTATGATTTCCTCACAGAAAACAGACACAAACACTGACCTTTACGAGTTGCACAGAGAAAGAGAGAGCGTTTATGGCTTTTTGGGCAGTGTTTTGCTGTGATGGCTCTGCTGGAGTGTGCTAGTGTGGGTCTTTAAGCTGGTTTTTTCGTGCACGTGCAATCAAAGCATCCGCATCGATGGCTCGTTCGAAGAAACGAACCACTGACGGTTCGTTCAGGAGGGAGGCCAGAATCTGCTCAAAGGAAAAGCTCCAGTCACCGTCCTGGCTCGTGCAGGGGGAGCTGGGAGACTCGGCCGGGGTGTCCAGCGCAGGGCTGATGGTTTCTGTTGGGCTGCTGGTGGGTGTGGACGGGTGCGAGTTTGAAGTGTCAGCAGGACATGAGGCGGATTGCTGTTGGCTGACTGGAGACTCAAGTTGGTTTTGAGCTCCATCGCTCTCTGTGAGGGTCTCGGCTTCAGGGCTGCTGGGCAAGCTTGGGGTGGTCCCTGATTGAACAGTACTGGTAGGGGTGTTTTGGGCTGTTTTTTGTGGGCTGCTTTCTTGTAGCTTTCGTCCAACTTCCTCCATGCGCAAGAGAAGACTGGTGACTCGAGCTACAGCGCGGTATAGCGTTTCTTCTTCCTCGTCACCATGGAAAACGCCATACAGAGTCTTGGTCAAGCTGATAAACTGCACCTGGAAAATAATCATGGGGTAACTATGAATGCCGTCTTAAATGAGTTTGAATTGAAACTCTTCTAAACATATGATTTATGCAATTAATATGATGTAAAAACAATACAGAAGAAAAAAGCAACTACAGTAAAATGTTTTCATACAGAAACACAACTTGTACCTAATATCAAATATTATACAAATACTGCAAATTAGTGTTGTAGTGTTCAAGAGTGTGTCTTTTTCTATGGTCTTAGTTCACTGTGATGTCTTGGTCTAGGCTGCACAGGTGTCCTCGTGTATTTAATTCAAGAACAAAAAGCAAAATTGCTTTTCTTAAATAAAACAAAAATATTGGCTATTTTGGCCACACCTCTTTTCAAATAAACCCAATCAATAGCACATTTTCTCAAAAAAAGCAATTTTCCCTAAATCTGACAATGCCATGCGACATAAATTGGGTTATAATGGAAACACCAAAATGTTTGCAGAAGGCACGCAAGGTAATTTGTACAGAAGGGGGTTTTTACTATGAGAACTATGTTTTTAACAAATATTGTTTTTGCTCTTGACTTGGTCTCAGCTTAGTATGTCTTGGTCTTGATATTCTCTGGTCTCGGCTGGGTCTTGGTTTTGATACTCTCCGGTCAAGTATTGACCTTGCTGTCTGTGAATGTTTTCCCACAAAAATGAAATTTCACTTTGTATAAAAACATGAACCAAATGCAAAAACCACCACATCAACAATACATTTATTTTATGGCAAAACAAATTACCTAGAAAAATGCTTTACTTTTCTGTGGCTCAGCTGGTAGAGCATTGTGCTAAAAACACAAAAGGCTTGGGTTCAAATCTCAGGGAAAGCAACAACTGACAAAAAATAAAATGTAAGTCGCATTGGATAAAAGCGTCTGCCAGCCAACTTGCACTTAAATGGGTGAAAGATTTTGACCTCTACACATAACACAACTTGGTCCTTGGTGCAATAATAAAAAAAATTGATTTCTATTGTTCTGAGATATAAACGGAAGCTACATCACAAACAGGAAGTTACATCACATATAGGAATGTGCTTTCTTTAAATGAGGTTGCTGAGAAACTCTCTTTCCCCTTTCCCCACCCCTCTGTCCCACATTCTCCTTTGTCTCTGTCTCGATGCAGTTTGTTAGCTGTTAGCATATTCAGTGTTTTTAAAGCTAAATAAAGCCAAGTTTCTCAATTTTAACAACAACACATTCACCCTTTAAAAAAGAGGTGCCTGTAGTATTTAAGTCCTTTGTGGCATAGTGTTTGTTAGTTTATTCTTGGTGTTGTTTTAGAGATGCCCCTGTCTGCAGACACTGCAGATGGGTTAAGCCCCTCCAACTGAACATGCAGCCCCACCCACTTAATGCGGAGCCCCGCCCACATGTCGTCTCATTGCCTGGGTTTATTTTCTGTTTTATGTTGTGTGTTGGTTCTAATGAAAAAAAAATGCAAAGCATTGTGGGATATCTGAGTCAACGAAGGATGGTCGCAATGCATCCTCCGAGTTCAGGTCAAAGTAGGACGAATTTCAAGGGTGCATTTTAAAGAAGCCCTTCCAGTTTTGCCGTAATGAGACGGCCTTGGCGCACTGTTGTGACGTAAGTGGCCTTAAAATACGTACTTGGGAGGATGCACACTCCTGGATTGGGACACAGCTTTGTTCTCTTGTAATGTTTAGATTTGTTGTTGTTCTGTCAATTTTGTTGTACAAATATCACTTTTTGTTTAATTTTCAGTTGTACATTCCTTTTTTATATTGAAAGCCATCAGTAAAGACAACATTACTTGGATACAAGTCTTCAGGGGTCGGTCTTTTTATCTGCTCTGCAATTGGGCCAAGGATTACAAGCCTGCTTTCTCTGACTTCTAAGCAAGCAACAATAGAAACCCAGGTTTTAATTCACTGTTACAGCAGGACCAAGAGTATTTAACCTCTTAAGCCCTGAGGCCTATTTTCCGAAAATCCTATACTTTTACTTTTTAAGGCATTTCTCAGCTTTTACAAGGCATAAACTGCAAATCTTGGTAGCAAAATGAAGATAGGTTCTAGGGGAGTGGTGTGGATGAGTTAATTTGACAGTCAAGAACACTGGGTAAGAGTAATTGATGTTGGAATAGCCAAAAAATGAACTCCGCCTAAAAAAAAAACACATGTTTCCTCCAATATCTCCTTATTTTACTTATAACGAAGCAAATAAACACAATCAATTGTAACAACTACATGTGAAGAACATCTGTAGCAAGTTTGGTGTTCATACTACAAGAAACTAATATTCTGTACAGGGTTTGATTGAACAAAGTTCAGGCGTAATCCATGTTGGCACAGTTTGGTTACTGTGGGGGGTGGAAGCTCATTTACCCCATCTTGCTGCGCTTTTGGGAACCTTTCATTCACAAACGCTTTCGACGTTCGAGCTTCTGCATGTCCCTACCCCCCGACCATCTGTCCAATCCGAGAGCTCTATATATCGCTGGAAAGCTCTGATTCTATGGAAGCCAATGAGCTCAACCATTTTGAGACTGACGGGATCGCCGACGAATCACACGACGCGCAGCGTGGAGAGACCACCTCTTACGCACGGGGAGTCATTCCATTTTTGGTGACGTCATGAGGCCACGGAGCAACAGAAAAAATACAAAATGGAGTTTTCGCGAAGCTATCGACCGGACATAACAACAAACGGACTTTTATCGCTATGGGAATTACTTTTTGTTGAAAAAACAGGTAAGACAAGATTTACATGCTTGCTTGGTTTTCGCTGGCGTTTTTTCGGGGAACTTTCGCTCCCTGCTCTGAAATACTTCATGCAATGTAAATAAGTTGCATAT